GATCTTACCCCTGCGTAAATTAGAATGACAAAATGAGACAGATGTAGTGTATAACTTCCAATAAGCTTTTATTTTTGTATGCAATTACCAGAAATTAAATAGCCAGAAGACAGATTCACCAATGAAGCTGAGTGAATATGCAAGTTTTGCATATTGAATTTTATTTAAGCAAATTAGTAAGGTGTATATTTATCTATCCACCTCTGTCAGATCTCCAAGAAAAGATCAGTGACTGTATTGCTTAGGTGTTAAAAAAAAACCAAAACAAACAAAACAGAAAATATAAAGTCTCAGTGAAATCTATTTTTCAAAAATCTGAGTAGTCATTATAGACATCCAACAATTTCAGCTAGCTCCGGACCACTGAAATTTAGTCTGAAGTTTTCTATTGCAGCCCCAGGCAACAAATTTACTTATAAAAATTTGTGTTTAATCTGAGAATATTGAATCTTCAGCTCTTTGTTCATCATTATCTTAGGATTGTTTTTCTTAAAAAATAAATCCAGTCTACCAACACAAGATGCTAGGGAACACAAGTGGTTGGATAATCATCACCAGCAAGCTAACCTGTAATTGTCCTGGTGACGGGTTTTAAATGGGATGATGCTTAAATGTGTTTGCAGATGTGAGTTCAAATTTATCAACTGCTGCTACATGTGAGTAAACTTCCCTGTGACACATCAGTCTCACACCTCACACATATACCTTCTGATTGATTTTGTTTGTTTGTTTCTAATTAGTTTATATGCTAATGTAGTTAATCTCAGAAATGTGATAAATCTTTGCCAAGTACATCTCAGGAGCATTTGGAGTTACAGCATTCATGGATGAGTATGGGAACTAATGCTAGAAGTATCAAAGACGCACACTAAAACTGACAGAGAAGTCTGGAGGAATGTTGTACCCATTAACAGTGCTTTGTGTAGGAAGCTCACCCTTGTCAGACAATAAATAGCAAATACAGTTTTTCATTGTAACTGTATAACTGCTGCATGTACCATTTGTGAACTGTTACTCCCTTCTCTGTAATCAGTGAAAAAGGATTTATTAATGCAAGCTTAGGCTTGAATCTATGGTCCTGTAACTTAATCTAATTCATATATTCTTACTCACCATGAATGGTACCTTATTATTGGTAATCACAAGTGAGCTATAATAAAATGTATCTGTACAGGCTTCTGGGGCTACTGTGTAGCATATTGGCTGAACAAGAAGAAAATAAAAAATTTGTTCATTTTTAATAAAAATGGTGAAAACTCTATAAAAGGGAAGTAAATTAACTGAATTAACTCAATTAACTGATTCAGAAGCCCTAACAGACCTAAAATAGAAGAACAATAAAAACCCAAGAGCCTGGTTTAGCTAGCTAAGTAGGAAGATAAGAGGTGGGGATTTGATTTGGTCAGAAGTTTACAACAGTAAACTCTCTACCGGTGTACTCCCATTTTGTCAGTAATAGAGAAATAAAATATAAAGGCAAACAGGCTTTCAGGTCTTCCACAAAAAGAGTCTGCTATGAATCATAGCAAGCTGAACTTACTGGGTGATATGCACTATTTTTGAGGCTTCAGGTGGCGCCCTCATGTTAAGATGCATTAAAACATCTGAAGAAGTCTGGTAGACTGTGTGCCAATTAAAGCCTGAGTCAAGCATGCTTAGCATTGTGACTAGTTTTGTCATCATGCTGGTGAAAAAGTCCATCAGTGAAATTCTGCAAAAGTTTGCCAGGGTAAAAGGAAGCTAAACCAAAACATGCAAGCCAGGCATCAGGGAATATATTAGCTGACAACTTGTCTGCTCTTCTTTGCACATGTCTGAGATGATATGGCTGTTATGGCACTTATCCAGCAAGTGTTTGCTGCCACAGATATGGAATGAAAATGATGGTACTTTGTACTTTTTTCTTTGTTTTTGTTTTGTTTTGTTTTGTTTTTTTGTTTTGTTTGTTTAAAAAGGGTAAAATCTTGAAGATTATGGAATATCCTCATATTCTTGTAATGGAGGCCAAAAAATTTCTGACTGTTGTGCTGACGTGGGACTTTCTCTTGTTTGTTAGGAGCACGACCAGGTTCTGCTCACTTCTAGAATGCAAAAATTCTTCATAAGGCTTATAAATACCAGCTTTTATAATCTCAGAGAACAAAACTTGTGAAGCCATTATAACAGCCTGTAAGAGAAGAGGCCAGTAAAAAGAGATGCCCTTTGGATGCCCTGTTGTCCTTCAAATAAGCATGTTTGAAATGGTACCTAGGATAAAACCCCATTTCCTCATTCTAGGTCCATTGTTGGTTTGTTACTAACAAAATTTACACAGTTTAAAAAGCAAAGGAGAGAACCTTTTTGATTTTCAAACAGGGATTATTATCAGATGTTAGGATCACTAGGGTTTTCTGGTTTTAATGGTGGATAGTGTTTATAAACAGACAAAATCGGCATCATACAAGGGTAGAGTGCCACATGTACACATCACTGATGTTCTGGTTTGAACCCTTGTAGATATGTGCAAAGGTCTTGTCCTGGCTGACATGCATAAGTGGATTTATATCCTCACTCTCTCCAGCTCATGTTTTTCAGTCACTTCTAAAGGGATCAGAGATACTTCCATAGCTGAAAACATCTATGCATCCTCACTGTAATAAAACACAATTTCTCCTGTTAAGGTCTGACCCTGTAATTTTGTAATCAGACATCAAAGTCTGATTGTCATAATTGTGTGCCTAATTTGCATTTGGAATTAGCAAGATTATGCATGTCAATTAGGTATTTGAGTCCACAATTAGATATTGCACATTCTGGTAATTGCACATGGAAATTAGGCGTTCAGTTGCATGAGAATATTTGTGTACACGGTTGGACAGATACCCAAATCAGACTGAGAAATTCAGGTATTGATCTGCAGGGGCTCTAATAGGCCAGTAAAGAAAAATTGAGATGAACTAATGTTATTTTTTGTGCAATGTGTTACTAAAAAGATATATTTAAGATGTAAAGATTTGAAGATGCTTTTAAACTCACTAAGAGAAGGGACTCCTGCTTTTCGAGATCTGTTTGATTTCTGGAAATTTTAGAAAGTGGAATTGAGGTGTTTGTTACCTCTTTCCAAAATAACTTTTTCTTTAAACTGATGTTTCGATGGTTTACGTTTTTTTACTACTAGTAGGGTTGAAATATACTTTTCTGCTTTGTAGTGCTTTTGTAAGGGATTATTGGGTGGCATCTGGTGATATGTAGGCAAGTTGTAGAGAAATGTTGAGAGGTACACTAGGTTGAAAATTTGGTTTTCTCATACACCAAGATTACAATGCTTTAAAAAAATGTCGTTTCCAGTAGCAGAGGGAACACTATAGCATGATTGGCAGGGCATTGCTGTACTTACTGGACATGTGAAAATAGGAAACAATTACTTTTTGGAGATTTGGAATTTTTACTTCTATATTTTCCTTAAAAGAACTGATGGCTGTTCTGATGGCTGACAGCTAATAGCTGTGACAATAGTATGCTCTTTGAAGTAAGGATAAGATACCACTCTTTAAGGGGGTAAAAAACCAGTTTCTATAAAAGTACAACAGTATATTATGATTGCTCAATAATAAGCAGCCTCAGCTAGATGTAGAGTGAACAATCTGAGGAGGCTATTCTTTGTGCTGCCTTTGTGCTGGCTTGGTTCCAGTCAATGCCACACATCCAGGGCATCTGGTATGATAAAAAGCAAAGCAAAAACATTAATTTGCATGTTGTTGTGTGATTTTTCCAGTGGACATACAAAGTGCTGAAATTCTTAAAAAAGACAAAAACAAAAACAAAAAAAAAGGCAATGGAATTGGAATTGGTTTAAATAAGAAAGAAAAAAAAAGAATCAAACCATAACCCCCCTCCAGACAAAGACCAAAGCACACATGCATTTTAATTATTCTTTTACAGAATCACCTGATAGCATCTGTTCATTCTGAAGCCTGGAGGCAGAAAACATTGATTTGTTAAAATTCATAGTGCATGAAATAGATTTTTAATGTTTACTACTTTGTATCAGACAAATGTCCTTATTGTATTTCTTCATATATCAACAATGTATTTTTCAGAACCATTGTATATATAGCTATGCCAACAGAATATATTTGTTTTTCTGACAGATCACATGAACCGAGTTCTGCACTAGAGAACATACCATTTACTAGTAGTTTTTGGTAATCTGTTTATGCCATTTGCTTGGACTTCACAATATATCTGCATTGTACATCCCACAGTACTTGTCTCTGAAATGTCCAGAGATTTTATAAACAAAAATATTTCTAGTTTAATTATGAAGCAATAATATATTCCAAAGAAAAATATAGTTTATAATAAACATATATATAAAATGTCACACTTAAACCCATTGTTTGCAGTTTTAAAAGGCTCATCAATATAGCTAACAAATGGTTAGCCCTGTCTATCTTTTTGTGTAGAGCAGTTCTTTATCAATCTAAATACTATATTGACATGGATAAACCTGCATTTAAACTGCAGTGGCCTAGTGATTAGGGTCTACCCTCTTTTAGGGAGGGATCCTAAAAAAATATACGATTTCAAAGATACATTTCAGAATTATTTTAGCAGATCCTGAAAACCTGGCAGCTGAATAGATAGACATGATTGACAAAAAAACATTATATGAAGTGAAAAGAGGGTATGGATATCCCTCAATAGAAACCCAAACAAACAAAAAAACCCACAAAAAACCCCAACAAAAAACACAAAACACAAACCCAAAAAATCAAAGGAAAATTATTTTATTAACTAGCCCAAAACATATCTCGTGATAGCATCGCATTATTATTGTTTTAACATGCCCTTACTTTAGTGTGACTTCAGGAGTCAAAAGGGAATAACCAGGAATCATTTTGGTTTATGTATTTGTGTGTGCAGTAACTTAAGCTTAAGACACAGGTCTGAAGAAGAATTCAGAAATCATCAATTGTAACACAATACTGACAATTCAAACCTTCTTGTTCATGTTTCAGCATTTCAGGGAACACCTTGACAAACTTTTTGCAAAAGGAATTGGAATGCTGGACATTGCTTTAAATGAAGCTTTCAACATGCTTAATGAAGTAAGTTAATGATTCTCAGATTTATGCTGCTGATACCTTTCTTGCTATTTATCAATTACTGTAAATTAGATTAATAAATTAATAAATTAGATGACAGTAAAATACTGTTTATAGAACAAGGATTCTGTATGATGTATATGTGGTGAAAGATATAACAAATTGCACATTTCTATATATATTTAATATTAATGTATTTTGTGTCTGTATATAAAGTATACATCTATACATACATAAAGGCTAAATCACCATATTTGTCAAAGGGCAGAGCAGGTAGCCTTAAGGCTGAGAAAAACAGGAAAGTGATTTAAAATGCCCAAACTCTCATTTCATAAAATCAAAGAATCATAGAATGGTTGGAGGTTGGAAGAGACCTTAAAGATCATGAGGTTTCAACCCCCCCTCCTGTGAGCAGGGACACCTCCCACTAGACCAGGCTGCACAAAGTCTCATCCAACCTGGCATTGAACACCTCCAGTGGGAAGGATTCTACAGCCTCCCTAGGCAACCCTTTCTAGCACCTTACTACCCTCAGGGTGAAGAATTTCTTCCCTATGTCTAACCGAAATCTTCACTTTTTCAGTTTAAAAACCATTACTCCTTGTCCTATCACTGTCCTATCTGGTGAAAAGACACTCCCCAGCTTTCCTGTAGTCCCTTCAGATACTGGAAAGCTGCTGTAAGGTCTCCCTGGAGCCTTCTCCTACCTTAACAACCCCAACTCGCTCAGCCTGTCTTCATAGCAGAGGTGCTCTAGCCCTTTGATCATCTTCGTAGCGCTCTTTTGGACCCTCTCCAACAGCTCCATGTTTTTCATGTGATGAGGCCTCCAGAGCTGTACACAGTACTCCAGGTGTGGCCTCATCAGAGACTTGACAAGTGTGCCTGCCTTTATACTGTAGAATTATAGATTAACTAATGGTTAGTTCCATAGTTCCTCTGTATTCATCTTAAAACACAATATTGATCTTTTCTGGGCATAAAATCCTAAAATGAAAAGATTAGTATCTTCCTCTACCTGCTGTCCACATATTCACCCAGACAGTGTGGAACTAATTCCTTCGTGTGGTACATGCCTGAAAAGACAATGGGAAAAGCTACATGAAGTAAAGAACCCTCCATGTTGTTTGTAGAGAGTTTAAGAAACTCATTATGGGCACTGAATGTGGGCTTAGGAAACAGATAAAGAACAGTAAACAGCAATCAACATCAATGCAAGAGATGTTCTACACTAGGCTTTCAAATTTCTGTAAACTGAAAAAAATTGACAGACAGTGATCAAGAAGAGCTGATATAAGATTATTTTTTTTTTTTTTGTGAAGTAACAGGAGTTATAATGATTATTGTGGTATAAAAATATCATTAGGGGATCTGATAGTTTTGAGAATAAAAGAAACTGACATCCCATGTACTGAATTGTACCTACAAAGAGTGAGAATCTTTTGATCTGTAAGGTATTAAGGATCATTGTACATTTATTTTCACATGTATTCAAGGTGGAGTAATGACTGTTTCTATTTATACTATGAAATAATATAATAGCTTCAAGTCTTCTTGCATATATACTTCCAGAATTGACAGCATACAAATATTTTCCATTATATACAGGCATAACAAGGAAGACTCAGGGAGCTTTCATAATGTAGTTTGAGCCAGAGAAAAAATTCTTAATCTCCTTAAAAGAGTACAGCTAACCATTTTCCACTTTGCCTATAGGATGTGACCTTTATGTGCCAGAAATATAGACTTGTGAATTGCTGGTTAGCTCAGGATATGTCTCCTACATTAGAAAAAAAAACCCCAAAAAACAGGGGGGGAGTGGGCAGGAAAAAATGGGGGGAAAAAAGGGGAAAGGAAAAAAATAAAACACCTTGTTTTGCACAAATAGTCTATTAAGATTCTGGTTGGATTTTAGAATGGTTCAGGGGTTACACTAATCAAACTCAGTTAATTTTGCTTTGCAATTATCTGTCACCGCTTGCTTAGATTGTTGAGATTTGAGGATAGTTGATACTGATGTCTTTGAAAAGCACATTTTAAAAATCCACTTCCGAATTGTCTCCAATCATCAATTTATGCAGTGTTCATTATACAGTGTAAGTATACAGAAGTGTTTGGTACAGTAGTTACACACCTACTATGTCATGTGACAACTGCAATTATCTCTTTTGGTGACAAATGTAGTCTTTGCAGTGATTACCTTTAAAAAAATCACAGTCAATTAAATAAAATTCTGTGACATTTCAAAGACTTAATCACAACCAAATGCTGTAAATGTCAGGATGCATTGAATTTTTTTGCTGCTGACTGATGAATCACTGAGTTAATTGTAGTTCATCATAAGGCCCTTGTCATTGTTATTATTATGGAAAATGCTTTAGTCACTCTTCCTATTCAATAAAATTAAAGTTCTAGACAAATATGAGAAGATATTACTCACCATAACATTTGAATTTAAACTCATTCTTCAAAATATTCTAACAGATAATTATGTAGAATAATGTAGATATACAGAGTGAATTTGTTTGGTTTTTTTTAAATATATAAAGGCATTCCTCCTTTGTTAACTTTGCTTTTAATACACCTTGTCTCTTTCAAAATACGTTGTCCATATGAAGAATATATTCTTTGACAAAGTAACTTTGTCTTCAAGAGAACATATGTGATCTAGGATCATTATTAAAGGATTCGTTAAACTAATTAAAGAATCTGACTTTAATAATTATAGTACTGGTTATGTCCAGGAAAACCACCATGACTGAAGAAATTTAAGGATAGACTGCCTTGCAGGTATCACAGATAAAAATTTTCACTCAGGCAGTGAATATAGCTAACTCTGAAAACCCACATTAGTTTCACTTTCAGTAACATCTTTCTGTGAATGTCCATTGAGCTTCCTGTTTAATCAAAAGAAAACTGATCTGGAGAAGAACTGTGGATGGTATCAACGGTTGTTGAATGATATTTGTAAATATGAATCTATAGTGTTTTGTGTAAAACCCTAGTCTGTTGACCTTTTCATAGATATTTTTTGAGTGGTCATAGAGTAATTAAAAAGAAAATAATTTTCCAAGTTTGAATTAATTTAATTATTATTATTTTTTTTAAATGACAGATGCTTCACCTAAGTTCCCTGAATAATACACAGACAAATAAGAATCCCTTCTGCAAAAAGAGCAAAGGGGGACACAGATTCAAATGGATTCAAAATTAAGGCACCAATCCAGAATCGAAGGATCAGAGCTTATGTTAAGGCTCCATCCAATTTACTTGCTCTCTGGCTAGGAGAAAGTCCTGTTTGCGGAATGATAAAACTTTGCATACTGCAAAGGATATGTTGATTGCTGTTGAAGTGCTGGTGCTCAAATACTGCTGTCCAGCAGTTTGAATTGCTTACATATATTCATTTCGAGTAATAAGAAAATCTGAGGATATGTAAATATTAACTTGGTTCTCCCAGATAAACATTTTAGGAAAAATAACATATGGAATGTAATCCTGAGAGGATATGAATGCCATATACGTAGCCATATGCTTCTCTATAAGTGTTGGATCCTCTGTACTTCACAGTAAAATTAGCAGTTGTTAATTTCTTCTTTTTTGTAACTTGTTATTTTAAAATTCTATTTAAATCAAAGCAAACCCCATGTAGACACGTATGCATATAATCTATCTAAAACTGAAGAATAGCTTTTAATTTGGGAAAGTGCTATATTTATGTTTCTTATTTTTTCATGGTAATAAAGTGGGGATATATAGTGAGCCCCAATTCTGTTACAATTCAGTAAGAACATAATATCTATGATAAAATGTTTTCAACTTCAGACTCTTCCACTTACTTCTAAGCATGCTAGAGATTTTATACAATGATCCATATTTGCAATCCTATCTATCTTCACCTATTACGAATGTGTTGTAACTGGTTGTTTCCCTTCACAGTTTAATCACACTGGACAAGGAAGTATTTGCAGCCAAGCCATAATGTTGATTACTGATGGAGCTGTGGACACATACGATACTATATTTGCAAAATATAATTGGCCAGACAGAAAAGTAAGTATGTTATCACCTTTATGTGATGGAAAATCAAAGCTTCATAAAGTGTAAGCCTATTGAGAAGCCATAAAAAATCTTTCTAATTATCTAAAAATTATTTTGAATAACTGGATGTTTCATTAATGACAGAAATGATGCTCATGTGATATTGCTGAAGCATGGTGATGACCTTTTACTGTAGCAATGAACCAAGAATAATAAGATAGTAAGGAAATATTTCCCTCCAGAGTATATTTTTGACCATTACATAATGCTTCCCCTGTGAGACATCATTAAATGTGAAAAAAAACTTTTCCCCAAAAAACTCATTAATAATTCAATGCTTTTTGAAGCTGAAGAGGGGTATGTACTCTTCACTGTAGACAGTGAACAGTTTACTGTGACTGGAGAAAGAACAGATCTAGTATGTAGCATTTTTTATTTCTTTATTTGACTGAGGGAGGGGCAGAATTGGCAATTGGTGAGGTTTTATTAAAAATTTTTGCTTCTATGTATCTGTACAAATAAATTTGCCCAGAATTAAGTTAACTTGTTATATAACACAAGGATGATATATAGTAGTGCAGAAATGCCTTGAATTTTCCTCATGAGAAGGCTCTAGCAGGCCTTGTGCTCAAGTTTGAAATAATTTCCTTTTACACATTTAATCTTCTGCTAAAGCAAGTTTTGGAACTGTTTTAGGAAAGTTTTTAGTTGGAGTTACATGAGGTCTTACAGATCTGTGAAAGCAACATCATCACTCATCAAAGGGCAGTTTGAGCAAGTAATTGATTAATATGAGTGTGCTGTGTGGGATTTAATAATCCTATGGAAAAAGTAGTGGGATTTGGCTTGTGTTTTCTTAGTCAAGTTTCTCTCATTAAAAAAAATTGTTTTCTGTTCTCCTTTTTCTTATTGACCTGCACTAAACCTCATCTATTAGCAATCAGTGAGTAAGATAGAATGAAAAATTGGGGATATTTTTTTTAAACTAATTTCCTGAAAGTGTCAATTACTGTCATTTTGTGTAGTAAAAATGACACACAACTATTCTACTTTTTGTTAGTTAAGAAGTTTTTATTCAGAGAATGTAGAGTAGCTTTTACTGATTTTTCTGTTGATTAATTAGACATTTGGGAAGTTAGGACTTTATAACATATCTTTGCTTGTTGAAATTACTGAATAATTCTGGAAACAGTAAAATATTTGAACTGTACCTTGTTTTTCAGATAACAGATATTTGAAATAGAGTGTGTTTTTATCAGGTCATATGTTATGTTTTTCTTACAAAGTCAATAGGAGTAATTCCTCTGTTATACCATTTAAGTTTTTTATCAGCTGGCTGTGCTCATATAGCTGTAAGGCAGTAATACGTAGTCTCAAAAATCTCTCTTAAATCCTTCTTTGTATTCACACTTGTTTCTCTCAGAAAACATTTGGAAAATAGACAACTATAACCTGACTGTGAAATTATTATTGTAATAGCTGCTTCTCCAGAATGCCAATTTTATAAAGAGACATTTTATTCTTTTGGAGTAATTCCCAGATGTTTGCATATAATTTTATCCCTCCAAAAATGGACTGAGAAGTGTTAATTTCAACTATAGGCTTCAATATTTACTCTTACTATTTTAGTCAATTAAATCTTGTAATGGTTCAAGATTTCCATGATTAGATGTTTGTATGAAGAATTTTCAGTGCATAGTATATACATTCAAACACATTAAATACAGTATACGACAAATACGATTGAATCTAAATTATCTTTGGAATTTCAATCGGTATTTCTGGCACCTTCCCCATCCTACTAATTTTGTCTCGTTTCCAGTTTTGGTATGACTGAGTGATTTTGTTGACTAATATTAGCTTTGTTTTGTGAAAACTTGACTCACTGTTTCACTGGAAAGAAAGCTTTAAAGTTGTATAAAGGAAAACAAAAAAAAGTCTTATGGTTAGTCATTCCTCTGCTATTCAATGGGATATTACCTGATTTAAGTTCTCAAATGTTCCATGAGAACAGTTTGCTTTATCTAGCAAATACTGATGTATAAGGGGATTTACAGACTCTCTCAGAAGGATGTGCCTCTGATGCTTTATATTTTCTTATGCTATGAAGTTACTTCGTCTCTGAAGAATGGAAGAGACCACGGGGATACTTTCTTAATATGAAATCAATAAGGAAAGAGTTCTCTGAAATAGCCAGCTATGCATTTTCACAAATTCTGTGCTGTGTGTCTTTCACGTGCAAATCAACAGCTTTATCTGAGATAATACTTGGCAGAGCTGTTGCAAGAAGCAGGAGGACAGGTTTCCCTTTGGGTGAACTTCTGCAAAGGCCTAGCATGAAGTATCCTTGTTTAGCAAGGGCATGGTGTTTAGAGAGTAGCTTTTGGTTTATATGGGATATTCTACCCAAGTCTTATAAAACATTTAATGCATTATACAGCCTTCTAAATTGTCTATTAGAAAATACATAGAAAAAAAACAGATCAGATCAGTTTTTCCTCTTTTCAGCCTGCAATGTTTCAGTATGAAAAATGTGAAAGATTTGCATACGTATGCTTTAGTACATTCGAACTTTCAATGTTCTTTCTTGGATTTGTTGTTCTAGAAAGGAAAAACTATTGAAGACATGATATTCTACATATTTGCAATGTCAGGGTGCCTAAAAATGACGCATGTGGTACACCTCGAGGTCCCCTGCTTTTGCATTACACCATCTTTACTCTCTCCAAAGTCATTTTTAATCTTTATATATCACACCTTTGAACTGCTGAGTAGTTTTTCCCTTGATTTTTTTTTTTTGCTCTCTCTTCATCTACACATTGCCCATCTTCGTTATAGTTTATCTTTTTCCTGCAATTTTGATGCTGTGGAGGACAGTGATGGGTAAAGTAATAGCTTTAATTGACATAAGTTCTTAAGTTCCTGTTAACCTCAATTATCCTGTCAGCAAAGTACCTATTTCAGTTATATTTTATCTACTGTTAGATAATATTAAATATGTCATCATTGTTTGCAGCAGAACTATCTTCTCTTAAGGAAAGGGACAAACTCTTTGTATAACTGTGAAGGCTTTCCCAGTTTCTTGCTGATAGTCTCTAAAATGGAGAGTGAAAACATACTGTCACCGTGTAGATAATTCATATTTCTTTCATTTTTCCAAGCTGTCTCTATCTTTACAAAAGATAATATTTTTAGAAAACGATACTGTGTAAACAAGGATAAGAGCACTTTATTGCATATCGTTGTAGAGGTGTTCTGACTGACTGACTAAAAAGATGCTTCTTTCTGATAATGTATTCAGTGAAAATTGTATTGCAACAATTTTGAAATGGAATAATGGCTCCAATTAAATCCCTGAAGTAGCTTAAATTAAGTAATTGAGTTTATAAGCCTGGTTTATAAGCTAGAGAACTACGACCATCAAAAGACCATTTAAAATTATCTTCTGGACTGTTTTCTCAAAAGAAAGAACACTTTCATTTTACTGATAATTTTATCACTCCCTATCTCCCTTGTGAAAATAAACAACAAACACTTCCCCATGGTTTCTTAATGCCTTCTGCTATTTTAAGTATAAATCTAGGAGATGCTATTTTTATAATACACTATGTGTTATTTGTGTGACTAAGATTCTTGTATAAATGCCTGAGGAAACACTTCAAAACTGTTGACTCACCAACAGCTCCATGAAGTCTCATGATCCTTTTTGTCCACTGGCTAAAATGACCAAGTGCCTGCATGTTTTACAGCATGAGTCTTTTTCTCTCCTCCATCATTTTTAAGTGGCTATCTAGTTCTATACATCTATAATACATCATTGTTTTGGAGCAGTCCAAATGCATTTCTTCCATGACCATGAATTAGGGCAGACTCTAATATCCCATTGAGATCAAGGGGCAATAGGTATGCAATTGAAGTATATAAGCAAGTATTTTTTGTGAAATATCAGTTTGGATATAGTCTTCTAGTATTCCTTTTTCATCTGGGTTGTTGCAGCACTCGTAAATGGTCAAGGAAGACACCATCTTGGTGAGCTGTTATGGTTGACAACATCAAGAAATGGCTGTTTGCTCCCTTAACCTGAGAGCTCTTCATTTGGTGATATTGTACCATGTTCAAAAAGAAAGCAAAAGAATAATTGAATAAGTTGAAATATTTCCTTCCCTTCAGGTTTGTCCTTTGATCCTGAAAAGCATTTACTTTCATACTTATCTGAAATAGTTCTATGCTATGGTAGTTACATGCAAAAACAGAAGCAGATATCCCTCACTACTTAGTAAAGTGAAATGGAAACCAAAATCCTGCCTAAAATTTCCTCATTTTCTAGAATCAAATCCAGCTGAAGAGTCCAGAAGTCTAGAATTCTCTTCTGAATTTTCTCTCTGTTGGTACGAAGTAATTAATGTGCTTTTTTTTTTTTTTTTTTTTAAATTTCAGTTAAAAGTATTCCCATATTCATTCACTTACGTTATTAATTGTTCTGCAGTCTTTCACATACTGGGCAAGTAACAGGGACTGGAACTTCATCTGCCTGTCTCCTGTTGCTCTGAGGGCTCTGGGGAGAGTTCATTTCTGAAGAGAGAGAAATATTTTATTTCCGTTTATGAATCATTACAACAAGGCAGATTTAAGACGGTTTCTGTCAGTGCTAAGACTTCATATAGGATGAATATAAAGAAAAACTGCAATCACATATTTATTCCTACTTCTAAATTATTAGGATACACGAAGACTTAACAGCTAATGCTGGCTGTGAACAGAACTGTTGAAATTACCAGATAAATAGATATATAATAGATAATAGTGTTTATGCCTGCTTTTGCATCTACTTTATATGAAAAATTTCAGCATTGAAGGTTTCTGGGTCTATACACAATACTTAGAATTAGCACCTCAAAAATCGCTGGATTTAGATTTGATTTAATAATAATGTACTATATTGTAGACTGTAATAATCAGTTGCCAAGTGCTTAGCTATGTGAGATGTTAATGCAAACTTTTACAGGATCAAT